TATTATTCAAAAGCGCGATTTTACCATTCCTCATCTACTGTCACCTAGTGTGGCATTTTTGCAAAGCGAGTAACACTCGAAAGCTTGAAAGACTACAAGAAAGAGGACTTAGAGCGGTTTTCAAGGATAATAATTCTAGTTATGAACAACTATTAGAGAAGGTAGACCTGCCCACACTACTAAATAGTCGCTTACAGGATCTGTGCATCCTTATGTATAAAGTTAAGCATAAACTGTGCCCTGCATATATAAGTGACATCTTTAAAGAACCAAATAGTAATTACAATCTGAGGCAAGCAGATTTCTCTATACCTAGGTATGAGACAGTCACCTACGGCAAGCACTCTATTAGATATCTAGGGCCTAGGCTATGGACAAAACTACCCAAGAGTATTAGGGACGTCACAACCCTAATGTCGTTTAAAAGCAAGATACGCCAACTCAATAAAGTGAACTTTTAGATGATGGCTGCGCAGGCTGTAGCCTTTGTTCATTTTGACTTCTGTATATTTTTACTATAAATCTCGTAATTAGATAACTATAGATATGTTACCTACTACTGTATATAGTTTTTACTTTGTATATTCTCCCCTAATTGGTGTCCCCAAATTACTAAGGGATTCTTTTTTCCCTGGCTAGACGGCTTTGACACATTAATAAAGTTTCTATCTATCTATCTATCTATCTATCTATCTATCTTGGCCTTACGCTTTGCCAAGAACGTAACGTATTTATTCGAATCCTTATAATTTGAATTTATAATTTGGCTTCGAAGAGCCTGTTGTGAGTCTGCGACCCCTGTGGAGAAGGCTGTCTTAATGCACATTCGTCGATAGTCCCAGAAATCAAAATCCATCTCTCTCGACATGTCTTTAAGGCGTCGGACTATATGCGTCGGTTGATGAACTTGTCTTTTCAACCTTTTGCAGTGTTTTCGTCCGTTATCTTAGCCTTAGCAAGAACTGAACTTGCTTCCATACATCAGGCGAATGCGTTTGAGGCTTGAGGTGAAAATTGATTTGCATAATGCTTTTTTGTTTGTAGAGTAACTTCCCTTCCTTTCAATACCATTTTCAAAAAATGCAGTAAAAGTATATCCGTTCTAGCATGAATCAATCATCAGAAACATTTCTTTGAAATATGCCAATTTTGGCGTTAACTGAATTCAAGAACACTTCCATTCATCCACCTTTGTGAAAACTTTGTAATGAATATATATTTTAATGGACAAAAATCTTCCATGCGTGCACTTTAATAAAAGTTGAGATAATAACAAAGTTACGTAGCCTTGCATCCTTTCTCCTTATGAAGCAAAACATTCAATCCAATTGTTGTGTCTCATCCACGATACTAGTTTCTATTCAACATATTTCAGAGGAGGTAGGAGTACTGTGAGAGTGAAAGAGAATTAGAGCTTTGGTACTCTTCTTCAATTCCCGTTCTAGAAGAGGGCCAATGATTGTCTGATGATGCGCCATAATTTCATTTCAATGAACAAGACGTGTTTATGAAGGAAAAGGTGTTAGGACAGAAAAAAATTTAAAACGCGAGGCCTTACCGAGGGCTTAAAAAACTGATTAAAGAAAGGATCAGATGGCCGAAAGAGCCGATGAGACGGTGGCATATTTGGGGGTGTGATCGAGCAACTCGCTCGCTACACAACAGATGATTTTAATACGGTGGAAGTGTTCCTTAATAAAATTTAGCAAAAGCGGTACTCACTTGCATTTGGTAAAACTGGTACAGCAGTCATGTCAGTAAATTGGACACGACAAAGAATACCTCTGATCATGACTGTGCATTCGCCATTTTGAACATCACAGTAAGAATGTTCCAGCATTGTATTCACATCACACGAAAAACTCTCCCAGTTGTCACCATCTACAGCAAATTCCCACAGATATGGTAGCTCTGTGTGACGATGGATACAGCTGTTTCCATACTTACACTTGTTACATAGATTGAATCCACAAATCTCAGTGTCATCCTTTCCTTTTTCATCTTTTGGTTTGGCGGAAGGAATGCTGGTATTTGCAGCTTCGCGTACAAATTTATATTTAACAGGAATCTGCACATCAAAACGTCCGCTGCTTGGACGTTTTCTTTCTCTATTTTTCAAACGCTGAAGCACTTGAAGCTCACCGATCCTATCCATGTCATATTCTTCAAGCACTTTTCTGTTTTGCGGGTCAGAAAAACAATGCTTCCGTTTACATCCACTGCCGAACTTACAATTTCCATCAATGTAATGTTGACACACGTGTAAACAGTGACAATTGTCCTCTTTCTTACAAGTGCCTTTGTTATAAAACTTGCAAATATCTGGAACAGATCGCTTGGCAGCAGCTCGTTGTAGTTCACTCTCGTCTAGGGTCATTTTCAAAATTTCTTGTAGAAGGGACGAAGAAGACGTATGTAAGAACCGAAGATGGAAGTGTTCAAGAACGCGAACGGTATGTTCATCACCACAATTATGGGATCTTTTACACTTTAAACCAAACTTGCAGTTTCCCTTGATAAAGAAGGGACATAAGTGAAGACGAGTACATTCTTTCGAAACACATCCACCACTCTCTCCCGCCTCGATACAAAACTGTAGGGGAACACTCAATTTTACCATTACTTTTGGTTTGGGTTTTCCCACTTCTTTGCATAGTTTATAATTAAAGAGCTCCGGATAGCGTTTCACGAATTCTAGTTTTCCAACATCTGACACCAAACGAAGGTTTTGTGAAGAAAGTTGCTTTACTAGATCCCCGAGTTCAAACTCTCCACCATTTTTTAAGAGAATTTCTAAAAAATCTTCCAGCGCTCGTCTGGGAGTGCTTTCATTCGCCATGTTTGGCACCACTTCGTCACCCGATCTTCTTCATGTAATTCATCTTGTTGTGTGACTTTTAGATGCACAATTTTTCGTCGCAAAAGGGACGAGGTCGAATTGAAGAGCTTTTTCCCTGTCTTACCCCGGTACCACGAAGAAAAGGGAACATTTAGAAATTAATTTTTTTCCCGAAATTTCAGACATTCAATCTTCCAGGCCCAAGAAAATTCCTATTTTCTGACGTGTTGGCCGGAACATTAGTTTGCGTGTGGTTGGAACTTTAGGACTTTAGGACTCCCGTGATTCCACGCTATTTATATTAGCAAAAGTTGCTGGAAATTCGATGAAGATCTCAATTTCGCCGCCATAGGCACTGAAATACCGTGAAGGGTCCTAAAAGTCTTCTTCCAGCTGAAAGGACACTTTTAGGACCCTTTTAAAAAAAATCACGTAGACTAAATGCCCGGAAGTTAAAAATTTTATGGAATTTCTACGAAGTCTTTTGTGCTATTCTCTCTCACTGGAGCTTGCAAATTAGTAAATCTAGATGCACTTGGAACCTACTCAGCCTGAGAAAACAGCCGACATTTGGCGACGCTACCACTGGTTTCCTCGCGAAATGAAGTCTGAGGAACAAGCGCAGAAATTCCATACTGATGACGTGACACTACCTAGATCTGGGTAGTGCTTCTGATTGGTTGTAGTAAAATTCCCTCGCATCACGACCAATCAGAGGCACTACCAAGATCCGGAGTAGTGACGTCATCAGTTTGGAATTCTGCGTACTTTTCGCGAGGAAACCAGTGGTCGTGTCGCGAAGTATCGGCTGTTTTCTCAGGCTACCCTGAAAAATACTAAATTCGTATTTGGCGCACTATTAAAGAAACATAAACTTTTATGGAGGCAGCGTGGCCGAGTGGTCAGCACGTCGGACTCGCACTCGCAATCCGGCGGTCCAGGGTTCGAGTCCCGCTCTGGCGACTTGCTGGATTTGTTCTTGCGTCCCGAGTACAAATCCTCAGCCATGCTTGTAAATAGCCAACTGGTTGTCTTCTGCCAGTTGTGGTTCTTAATCCTGTTATGTTGTTTTTGAAATAATCGGGGACGAGAACCACTACGAGTACGAGATTTGATTTAAAAAGTTTTTTCCCGTATTGTCAACAAATAGATACCCCGGAATTCTTCAGTGTACTTTTTTTCCACCAGAAACGTTAGCACTGTTATCGTTATTGAAGGAGGTTAAGACCTCTCCCGATTGCAAGATGCTAAAACTTCTAACATTTGATAACTTGTTCCCGCCAATACGACACTCGCTAAAACTCGTAGTAGAATGACGACGGCTACCACGTTTTCCCGCCAAAGTGATGCTGCGACACGCGTGAGCACTAATTACTATTGAGAAAATCTCGTACTCGTAGTCGTTCTCGTCATAGAATCTTAAGCTCTCTATTTGTTTCTAAGTATTTGAGTGGAGTGCCTCTAAACTAGCTGGATAAGCTAAGTGCATCTTCCACTATAAAAAAAAGCCTTTAAACCATTTTAAACCTGGCCCCGGTTGTGCAAAAGCTGGGTAGCGACATCCACCGGATAAATCGCTATCCCGGCGATACGTATTTGGGAAACCAATTGCGTTATCCACTGGATAGAGATTTATCCTTTTAAACAACCAGGGGCCTGACCCCATTTAGGAGGATTACCACACCTTGCAACGTTTACATCACAAAGACATATAGACATCACATATAAGGAGGGTATGTAACAGACTAGAGTTGCCCTTTCCGGAAGACCGGACAACCCACTCGGGAGGGTTAACCCACCTATCATCTAAACATTATCAAGAGGAAATGAAAGATTATGTCAGCAGTCCTGGGTTATCCTTGCCTAGTCCCTAGGCCTCATTGCTGCCCGCGGCTGATGCGTTTCGGGTTACGTGGTCCGAGGGAGGCCGTTCGTCTTGGACACGTCACCGAACTGATGCATTGACCGAGAAGGCCTGGAAAGACGCCGTACAGATATCTTAACCAAGGGTATCCTAACTCCCCAAAGAGCCCTTCCTTCATAAAAACGCGCCCTACATAATAAGGTAAATAATGAGTCAACGTGCCAAAATGATTATAAATTTTATTGACTTTTAATTGTCATTTACAGGATAACAGCTGAAAAGTTTAAATAAGACATGAGAGCGGTTTCTTTTACATGCAACTTAAGGAACAAGAAAATCCCATTCAACTGTTGTAAGGGCTAGCGCTGGGGTTCAGCTTGTACTAAGTTGTCGACAACTTGCATAAAGACTTGGTAAAAACTGATTGTCCATAACTTAAACACTACCATGACGGTGATCTTTAACTAGAATACTTTTACTTTTGAAAAGGAAAACTGTTTAGTCGCCGTCAGCTGAAACTTTGGACTGCTTTTTGCCCGCAACTTGCCCAAACTGATAGCGAATCCTAGTAGCAATACAGAGAAAATTTAAAGACGTGTTTGTTTTCTCCTCTCTTTGTACCCTGTAACCTTAATCGTATGGAAATTGAACATGTCCCTGTCGCAAGTGTGAGTGACTATATGGACAAAAAGAGTTGTCTTGCTTCAGTCTAAAATTATCTGTAAAAAACCGCTTTACAAAGGTCAATCTAAAATGGATTTAGCTCAGCTATCCCACTATTGACTACGACTAGAACTAAATCAGGTAAATTATTTATTTGCGTTGACATAAATGACCTAGTTGTTTCTCTGTTTTGCCAACTTAATGCCTTCTATTTTTCTTCTATTTTTTTTTTAATGGGAAATAACACTACTCTCAGCTCAAAAAGGTAATGTCTAAAATAAATCTAAAAAGAATTTATTGCATCAATACTTTGAGTGGATTTATTTGCGGTATACGGGTATACCCGTTGCATCCCATAGTAATTTTTCATTGTTTTGAAAACAATACCAACGGGCAAATGGGATGGCAATACGCGTACGCTGGAAATGAATCCACCCAAAGCAATGCAAAAGGCTACTTCTACGCTATACCGGATAGCTTTGGTGGTAACATGAAAAGCTATTCAATACCGCAGTATGAACGGCAACAGCACAGAACTATAACAAGTCTTTTCCCCCAATCGAACATCGTATTGGCCGAGAGGGATTGGTGCACGGAATTTACTTCCGTCTCAGTTGGTTCCAGTCCACGCTCCTACACATTTACTTCCGCTACGGTGGTAGAGACCGGCGCGGCGTAGCTTCATTCCGTTACAGAATTTGCGCCGAGATCACCGTTGTTTTGCGTGAACAGAAGCTCCGTCTGGTGTGGTTTTTGTGTCTGGTGTGGTTTTTGTGTGCGCGCAAGACCTATCCGGTATAGTACGAACAGAGCCTTAGTCTTCTTTAAACTCTAAAAATAGTCCTTCGAGTATAAAAAAAAAACATTATTCTCTAAAGTAGAACAGTAGACCACAAGTTTAAAATCATTTTTCAGGCAACTGCCACGCCCTTTTCAGGGAACGCCAATAGACCTCTTTAGACTGAACGTTTTATTTTCGTAGTGCAGTATAATTGATATCACTGTTTCTTTCTGTGCACACACACTAACACGAATTCGAGGCTTAGGTGGACAAATTTCTTTACAATTGCTTTATTCTGGGTATGTTTACACTAGACGACATTTTTCACGTACAGCGTCCCCATACTGTCTGCCTCGAATAGCTTTTGCTAAATGTAGCTAGTCTGTATGCTGTATGTACTTCATTGCGTTAATAAAGTTGTTGTTGTTGTTATTGTTACATTCACATTGTTTCCCGATTTGTTGGCGTAGTGACGTTTTCGGTGCCCTCGCAGTCGTTTCGTCTTGGTTTTACCGCAAACTCGCACGATCGAAGGCGGAAAAGTATCCAGATTCTCTGGAAGAATTGTTTACTCTACAAAACATCGCGAAGTTAAGAGTAATCGGGTACAAAGTATTCCTAGCACTTAGAGTTCAGACTCAAAATTGACCAAGTCGTGACGTTTTTATCTCGGATTCAAAAATCTTAAAAATCACCTCTAGTGTTAATGTAGCCCCTGCCAGCCCAAGCCTCGAGATGGTGCATTTGTTCACTGGAATGCGGGTATGTTCTATTCACGTGGAAAGGTTCGCAGCGAACACAAAAAGCAATGTCACTCGAGAACGTCATCTGACGCTAAGCTTACGCTATTATTGTTTTGCACAGTATTTCGGATAGGACCCTAGAGTTCCCTGTTGCAGTTTTCTAACATTTTACGGACTTGGCTTTGCCATGTCAATGTGGTTTTAATTATTTTCTTTTCTTTGTTTTTGTTTGTTTTTTTTTTGGTTTGTTTGTTTTTATTGTTTTTCAAAGGTTGTTGACATTCGTTATGATTTTAACAAACGTTTTACACCATGTTTATGGTAAAACATCAGTAGTTTTATGGACACCGAATTATACCTTTTTTCAACGCTGATTACTCAAACAGCGTATCGGTTGAATTGTTGCCTTGTCCCGCGCGGCCAATTGCGTTTCGGATCACGTGGTCCGTTCGCCTCGGAAACGCGCTTTTGATCATATTTAATCATTGTTATCAAAGTGAATTGACCGAGAAGGCCTGGGTAAACACCATACAGGGGGAAGGCAAGGTTGAATGCTAGATGGCTTGCTTACGCCTATATTAACATGCACTATTTAAGTATTTAAGCAATG